CTCGCTCAATTTTTTGATAGATTATGTCCTCACAACCCCATATTTTATCAATCAATTTTCAGCACTTATTCTTGACAACAAAAGTTAATATGAATTACTCTATAGAGAACTTGTTGATTACTTAGCATTTGGGTCCACTCTTCAAATAAAATAATATAAATTTAAGCCTCATTTTCATTGTGTATTCTCATAGAATAAAAAATAACATTGAGATTAAATTATTCAAAGGAATTCAATGTCATTTTTCATGAAAATGTCTTTCCCTTTCATTATATCATCAAAGTTGACATATCTTCAAATTTATTTTTGAATTTAGTTCTGTCAACTGCCACCACATACATCCTTCTCATATCCACTATTAGTTATTCTCCTATAGATTACTTTCTATAAACCTTCTCTCCAACATTATCCCACCACAACATTCTAGTCACCCTTATAAACTATGTAATAATCTTCAGGACTCTTTGATGCAGGACAAAAGTAGTGGAATTAGATATTCAAATTCAATAATCACAATGTTTAGAGATAAGAATAGAGAAACCTCACTTGTTTAAGTCAACAAAAGGAGATAATTTAAAATTAAATTACTATCTCAACTTTGAATGAGTAGAATCTTTATTTTATCTAAAACTGAGGTGTCCAATTTTAATAGAGCATATCAAACCTTCTTAACTGAGATAGATTATCCAAACAAAAGACAATTTACTGATTATTATATGTTCTCATAAGGATCAAGACTAAGGGTATGGATCTTCAAGTTTTGGATCTTTCCATCTCTTCGACAAAGAAGAACATTCATCGGGCTTAGTTAGGATCCATAGATTGCCATCGATTAACTGAATGGATTTCTCCTTTCAGTCCGTATGTTGCATCCCCATCACCTTCGACAAAGAAGAATAAGAGGGAGAAGAAAAAGAAGATAGGGCTAAACGTCACTTTACATATGTAAATGACCATTATATCATTCACCACCGCCGACCCAGTCGTTGTCCTGATACACCAAACGAAGTTTGTTCCGTCATTTAAAGAATATTCTGAACTAATAGGTTGACTTTCTTCGCTTGGAGGACTAAATAAAAATAATTTAGGTGGGTTTTCAGCTAGTCTGTTTTTCTGGGTGCCAAAGACGAGAGAGTGCTTCGGAATTTCGCATATGAGCCCTACCTTTATGATTGTATTGGCATTCAATCTAACAAACATTGGCTGTCAACTCTCCGAAGTTCTGAGGAGGCAGTATGCGGCGGAGGAGTTAACCACTGGAGTTAGCGTACGCAGCAGATATTCAGAACATTCAGCCTTGTCAATGCGTCCGCCCATTGGATATACTGAGAAATATAGGCCCGGAACGTGCAGTTGTTCTCTCTCTCTCTCTCTCTCTCTCTCTCTCTCTCTCTCTCTCTCTCTCTCTCTCTCTCTCTCTCTCTCTCTCTCTCTCTCTCTCTCTCGCTCGCTCTCTTCTCTCTTTTCTCCCTCTCTCTCTCTCGCTCGCTCTCTTCTCTCTTTTCTCCCTCTCTCTCTCTCTCTCGCTCTCTTCTCTCTCTTTTCTCCCTCTCTCTCTCTCTCTCTCTCGCTCTCTTCTCTCTCTTTTCTCCCTCTCCCTCTCTCTCTCTCTCTCTCTTCTCTCTTTTCTCCCTCTCCCTCTCTCTCTTCTCTCTCTCTCTCTCTCTCTCTCTCTCTCTCTCTCTCTCTCTCTCTCTCTCTCTCTCTCTCTCTCTCTCTCTCTCTCTCTCTCTCTCTCTCTCTCTCTCTCTCTCACTCTCTCTCTCTTCTCCCTCTCCCTCTTTCTCTTCTCTCTCTTCTCCCTCTCCCTCTCACTCTCTCTCTCTTCTTCCTCTCCCTCTCTCTCTCTCTCTCTCTCTCTCTCTCTCTCTCTCTCTCGTCTGAATGAATGTAACCCGAATGATTCAAGGCCTTGAAAATGGAAGTGAGAAAGATGACCACTTTATAGGTCAACCACTCAAGAAGAACGAAGAGGAAGAACTCTGCTGTGTTGGGGTTTCTCAGAATCCGAAGTCAAAACAGAGAGACGAGAACTGGGAAATGAATAATCGAAAGGAGACCGAGATATAAGGAGATCACACAAGTTCAAGTAGTTCGGCCAAATACCTCTTCTACCGTGAGAGCTGCTGTGCAGGGTGTCATGCTACTGAAGACTGAGGATTAACTACAAAGGCCCTGACCCCCCAAAATCTCTAGTCTAATCTACGAAAGGAGACAGGACCCCATAAACAGTCACGTCCCCCTCATAAACATCTGTCTTCTTTTCCCCACGTCAGCATCTTCAAAAATCTGGGTTCGTGAGCTGTGGGAGATGTAGCCGTTGAAAAAGCTGTGAGATATGGTTTAATCTTTTCTGGGTCAACTCAACAATCATCTCTATTTATCAATGAAAGACTATTTTGGGAAGAACATGTTTATAACTTGATAATTCGTCCAATATTCTGCACATTATGGGAGGCTAATTATTTTCTCTAGTTGCAGTTGACAGTGATTTTTGGTGTCCATTTTCTTTTGGATTCTTCGTGATCTGTCCATCTGATTTACAACTTTATCAAGGTACAATACCAGCCATATGATGAGCTATAATTCGAGTCATTATCCTTTTCATTGAATTGATTAACAAAGAGAATGGACTGTGGAGCGAAGATTCGTTCTATGCCTGGCTTCTCATTCTGACAGTTTTATTCTTACAGCATAGATTAGCAGTCAAAGTAATTGATGGTTCTTGGGTTAGGATTAAGAATAATACAAGAGAAGATAAAAATTGTCACTATTTAGACCACACTGTTCCTACTTTATTCTTTGGAAGACAATAAATCGATTTCCGTAATGGTTTAATCTAGCTCTCCAATGATCGTACTTCCAAAGTTTCTTCTTAAGATTTTTCACTGGGTTTATCTGAACCATATTATGGAGTATCCTTGCTCAATTCATTTAATGCTTGATGTTGTGTTTGACCAACTCAACTATTGTGATCTTTTCCGTCACAATCGCATTCACACGAGAGAGAGAGAGAGAGAGAGAGAGAGAGAGAGAGAGAGAGAGAGAGAGAGAGAGAGAGAGAGAGAGAGAGAGAAGGCGGCTAAGAATTTTAAAATTTTGGGGCGAACCCCCCATTTTATTCTCCCCTTTAAATGGGGCACAAGATAGGCCATGAATGAAATAAATCGGCCCAAAGCCAACTTCAAATAAATTCAGTTTTACTTGAGGCCAAAGCACACAAGAAAATAAATGTAATTCAGACTCGAAAGACAAATATACTTTACATAGCATGTAGGCCCGATAATATACTAGTTTTTCCTTATCTATTCCTGAAATAAAATCAAGTAAATTCCATAGTATTAAGCACCAAGTTTAATTATCACCTCTTTTAAACCTAGAATTACATAGAATTTCCATACAAAATCATTTAAACAATGCTTAAAAATTAACAATTTTCCTGAAAACATTCATGTCCATAAAAATTTATTACCTAGAATATGCAAATTTTCAAAGCTCCCCTAGGTACATGTAATATTTATCAATGATCGCAAAAAATTTCATCCGCCAACTCATACTCAGAAAAATGCTGGCAATAGACACCCAAAAACCTAGGGATTATGCTATTACTGCACACGTATCTTTCAATTCAGTCATGAGAATTACTCAACAAGGGACTATGAAACTATGGGGCAAAATTCATGACACCGAGGTGTCAATACTCGTTGATAGTGGGCTAACACAAAATTTCTTGTGCACCAAAATAATTGATAACTTATCCCTACAGATGGAGAAGTTATATGGCTACATCATAGTTATGGGCAACAGCAACACAATGACAGGTGCAGCAATTTGCTAGGCTATTCCTCTCCGTGCATAAGGTGTTTTAATAGTACAAGATTTTTTACCATTAGAGTTGAGTGGCACAGATGTGATTCTAAGTATACAGTGGTTGAGAACTTTAGGGCTGATCATTTCTAACTATGAGAAGTTCATAATGAAATTTTTGATGGGAGATAAAATTCACATCTTTAAAGCGGACCCTAGTATTACAAAATCAATACATCACCAAGAAGAGCAGAGAAGGAACTTAAGAGTAACAAAGCATATATGATTGAATTACATTTTATTCACTCACATACAGACCTTAATGCACCCAACGATTTAGAAATCAGTATGAAACAAGAATTTTTAAGGTTTTTGATTTCCATTTTTAATTGCTCAATCTGGTTCTTTTATACAACAGATAGTTGATTCTTTGAGTAAGCCACACCAAAGGTAAAATTAGGGTAAAGATTTCGTCCCAAATCTCAAGAGGTTCGTAACAGAATGATGCTTGAGAAATTGATAGAAGATAGATCAAATTCTCTAAGGAATCTCAAGGTGCACAAACATGTTGGGATAGAACCCTACAAACTATTCGTTAACAAATGGAGTTCTCTCAGGGATCTCAAGGTGCATAAACATGTTGAGATGAAACCCTCCAAACTATTAGCTGACAAATGGAGCTCTCTCAAAGATCTCAAGGTGCACAAACATGTTGGGATGGAACCCTCCAAAAGGTTAAAAGATAGATCGAGTTCTGTAATGTATCTCAAGGTGCACAGACATGATGGGATGGAACCTTCCAACAAGTTTTCTGATAGATCTAGAGCCTTTAGGAGTTTGAAGTTGCAAATAACTGTGAGACATAAAAGAAAAGATGAGAAAATTCTTAAATATATGACCTAACAATACAGATGACAGTGCAAATTAATTTAGGACAACCAAACACTATCTATCTTTTGTTAAAAGAAAGTAAAATAGCCAGTCACTTGTCACGATTGGGGGAAGTTACTTACTCTTCAGAATTCGACCGCTTATGTGATTGGCCCCAATACTCAACCTCTGTAACTCAACATGGTGAGGTTTGGGCACCATATGTCGTCTACCGCATTCTTCTCGCCCAACAAATCGATCCCGACCACGTGACTGGTGTTGGAGTCGCAGGTTATACCATACCATCGGCATTAGTCATTTTCCTATTTTGTTGTTGAGTTGCCCCAGTAGGACAAGTACGAGCCCTTGGGGGGGTTGAAAACCTTCTTGATCTCAAGCAAAGCCCTCCGCTCATCGTCGTCACAACCCCTCCCTTTGCATCCCAGCCAAGTCGATGCTATGATGATGAGAACGAGCACCAGTTTTCCGGGGACAACATCTTCAAAGGCCATAATAGAAGTAGGAGGAGAAGATGAAGAAGAAGTCATTTTTCTCGCTCAAATAGACAACAGACTCCCTCTTATGGGCTTGTTGACTCCTCGACATAGCAGGGGAATGTCGTGTTGGAGATGGGTGGGGGTTAAGGTGATCTCCTAATCGGGGGGCCTGCGAACAAAAATTATAATGTTCACTCGTAGAGGATGTTTATTTAATCATGGTACGCTACTAGAACCTAGATGAAATATATAATAATTATTATTTTAAAATGTGCATTTAAACTGCAGCTCTACTGCTTTCCAAGAGAGCCAGGTGACCACCGTTCTCTGACCTCTCTCTCTCCCTCTCTCATGCTCGCTCTCTCTCACCATTATACGAAGGTTTCACTCTTAAACTGTGGTATCTATCTGAAGGGTATGTAAATTAGATCAAAGATGCTCCTATCCAAAGGAAAGCTTTAAGCTACAATAAAAAGTTGATTTTTTTACTGAAAATGATCTCAATCAACAGCTAGCCAAATGTTGGGTTCCGTTAATCCAACAAGCACGGCCTTTCGTCACACACGGTATGGGCGGACACTGACAAGTAACGAAATTAAGAGAATAAAGGAAGGCAAGTGGAGCCTTGGTTTTCATTGGCTATCCTCTTGTGATGAAAAGATATAAACTCTATGACATTGAGATTAAAAAAATTATATTTTTTAATATGTCATTTTTCATGAAAATATTTGTCCCTTTCATTATGTCACCAAAGGTGACACATCTTCAAATCTATTTATGGATTTAGTTCTCCCAGCTACCACCACATACATTCTTCAAATACCCACCATTACTTTTTCTATGAATTCATTTCTAGAAATCTTACCTCCAGCACTATCCCACCTTACATCCAACACTATCCTAATAAGGAATTGATTTCTAAGAAACTTTACAAGAAAGGGTGCTTTGAAGAGATATACCTAATGAGAAGGAATTGACTTCTTGCTGGAACATTGAATAAAAGGTGTTTTGATGTTGAAAAACCAATTACAAAACTCATTAAGAGGATCATATTATTTTTGTGTGACATGAGAATAGATATGTGAATATATATTCAACTTTATGTAATATAGATTGTGTCCATATGATAATTCATTGAATATACTTCTAACAAATAATGTTGAATTTGTATACATGATTGATTTCATCACATGAAATTATCATATTGCTATTCTGGAAAATCTCAATATTTAAAAAATATCTCACGATGAAAAAATGATCATTAGCACATTTGATTTAATGAAATTATCTGAACCAAAATATGAATATGAAAAACTTACTCAGTCTATTATGTGCTCGTAATGTTAGATCATTACTTTCGGATAATTTTAGTCTCAAATTGATCAATTAGATAATTATATATTCAATCTCAAACATCTTGCTCTCTTGTCAATTGTTCTATTCATCTTATGTTATTCCATTCTATTTAGATACTTTTTTGATAGTAAAATATCCTTTAATTTCCAATCTTCACAATACTTGAAAATTTTAGAACTTTTATATTCTAATCCATTATGAGTCCTCAAGATTGTTCTCTTACTCCCAATTTGATTTTCAAATTTAGTTTTTCATAGCTTAAATGTTACAAAAGTCTGAAACTTAGGCTTCATGAAGTAAACTCAAACCTTCCTAGAGTAACCATCAATAAAAGTCACAAAATAACAAGATCCCTCATTTGACATTATATCAATAGGTCTCTATTCATCTTGATTGTTGTAATTCAATACTCCTTTGTTGTTATGGTTAACTATTTTGAACTTTACCTTACATTATTTTTATATCATATAATATTTATAAAAATTTAGTTTGTAAGTTTTGACTCTCTTGAATAATTTAAACTAACAAAGTTTCTTAATACTATTATCACTAATATGGACAAATCAGATGTGCCATAATAATATGATTTATTCTATCACTTATGTCTTAGATTCTTGCTGGACAAGAGCTAAGACACATGCAAAAGACATTTATTACCTTTTTATAATTCTATTTTTGAGATAAATGAAGGAAAATAAGATAAAATAAAAATATATAAAAAGAGAAGAATCTATCGGCCAGCCCCTACAAGCAAGTCAAAAGCATAGTCAGGCAGAACCACAAGTAGTGAGCTTGAGTAGCTAAGGATGGACTGTTAAGGGACACGTGTGTGTCACTCTCTATCTACATCACAAGTGGCTAGTTAGGCATAGGGCAAGGAGTAGTCATACACATGCGAGAGAGGTTTATTGATCTTAAGATCTTTTGTTATTATATATACACCTCAAAACTCATAAAATAATTAATGTGAGACTAAACCAACTTTTTAAAGGTTTTAATACCTAAAATAACTTTTATTTATAAGAATTAGATACCTTGATGGCATCACTATATAAAAATATTTGAGTACTTATTTTATTCTCTCTCATATTGGTGGGTGACCGACAAGGGTTTAAATCCCACTTGAGTCAAAACTTATATTTTTATATAATTAAATTATATTTTTTCTACAAATTAAGGGTGAATGATTAAGTTATTAAAATTACTTAATTATCGATAAAAATCTCATCAATGTAATTTATGAAATATTATTACTAAAATTACTGAATAATTCTAGATAAAAAATCATGAATTCATTGAGTAAATTATCTCCAACTGATCAACAAAAAGTTGTCATCAAGAAGAGAATGATTCATTAGAATACGAGTTGTCACCTCTTGAGAACATATCAGATGTGATGAAGAGTCTCTTTTTACTATACAAACTTGAAGATAAAGCTCTATAAAATATGTCCTAGTCTATCTCCGTTAGGTGATAGTCACTAGAGAGCCACAAAGTCACCATTGTTCTACTCTACTGGGTAACAATTGTTGAAGATAACTTGATAACTTATTTCATTGATTTCTAGTATTGGCGAGAAGATCTAAAAATTCTTACATCGTTCTTATCTAATGAGAATCTTTGAGATTGTGGACATTGTACGACAATCCTCCTAAATCATCAGTGCATTATCGATGTATCATCACTGCGATGTCGGAACTCTCTTTTACTATTTTTAACTAATTTAACTCTTACCTTCATTTTTTAGATTTTGAAAAGAGATCTAACAAATGCTCAAGTCATTCATGTCCAAGTAGAGCCCTTAAGATGATAAACATCACACAATAACAATTTCAAACACAGATTTTGACAATTACTATCATATTGCCGAAACTCTATATTTTCTCTATTCAATATATTTTCACTTAATTTAGTGATACTTTGTATGATTTTCAATTTCAAAACTATTCATCATTAAATTACAATTCTTCTAGGTTTTTTAAAACTTAATTTGACTCATTAAATTGTCTATAATCACTTACATAAGAATTCTCAGGCAGAATAAATTCACGTTCGTCGAAGTGTTGATGTGATCATGACATCTGTACCCTTATTTTTTTTTTTCATAAATTTTTAAATATATTTTATATTCATCATTTAGTCTAGAAATCACAAAATCATATTTTTTAAAGAAAATTTTAAAATATCACTCGATATTATCTTACATCCCTGTGATTGACTTGAAAATTCTTCACTATTTTTTGAACATTTTATTGAATTATAATTATTTTATTTATTCTAAGATATGTTTTAAAAAATTAAAAATTAGTATTTTTTAGTTTTATAAATTTAAATTTTATGTGATTTATCATACAATGACTGAGTCATGTCATGTATCAATATAAAAAAATAGAAAATATAAGAAACTAATCTCTCTTGACATTCTACATAGTCACATCAAACTCAATTGCTACTAGCCAACAAAAGTATATGAGAAATCCATTAATAGTACTTGATGTTGCAATATGACAACCTACTAAGGTTGTTGTAAGGATAGGTAAATTAACCTTTATAATGAATGTATTCTATATCCAATAGTATATGACAACCTACTAATATATCAATTTGCAATATAACTTGTATTCTATTCATCATTACTCAAAATATACCCAATTGGATGCCCATGATCTATAATGCAATCATCTATAATGAATGTCATCGATAATCTAAGTGCATTATATTGATAAAGTATGTGACTTATTAATTGTAATGAAATGGTGATGCACATTATCACATCTTATTCCTCATATGGTATGGTCTACTAGAGAAAGATGTGATATGAGAGCATGACATTAACCCTTTAGGACTTTAATGATCTTATTAATTAATCTCTCCAACAAATACTTTTTGACAATAATGTCAAAAACTTGTATCAACTCATCTATGTCGAGTGACAGCTGCTATAGAGTCATAAAGTTACTATTTTTCTATTCCATTAAGTGACAACCACTAAAGATAATTCAATGACCCATTTCATTGATCTTTAAACTTTGTAAGAAGATCTAGAGATTGACCACATTGTCTTTGTCTAAGGAGAGCCTTTGAAGTCATATAGATTAAATGACAATTCTTTCAAATACTCAAGATTTTGACACATCACTAATGCATCGTCATCACGACACCAGAACTCGATTTTACTATGTTTTAATTAATTAATTTTTATCATTATTTTTTAGACTTTGAAATGAGATCTAGATAATACCTAACTCGTCTTTGTCTATGGAGAGCCTTTGAGGCTTTGAGTATTGCATGATAATTATCTTGGACATATAGAATTCCAACGATTGTTGTCGCGAGGCCAAAACTCTGATTTTTCTATTTTCAACTTGATTTTTATTTAATTTAGTGATACTTTGCGTGATTCTAAGTTACTAAAACTTTCTTCATAAATATAATTCTTATTGCTTTTATATATCTTAATTTAAGCCATTAAATTATTTGTAATTACTTACATACAAATCACTAATTATAATTTTATTTCAGCCTGAATTACATTCCTCTAGGTGTTGATGTCATCATAATGTCTGCATCCTTCTTTTCTTTTTTTGTGAATTTTTAAATATATTTTATATTCATCATTTAGTATAAAACTTATAAAAAAATCATATTCTTTTAAGAAAATTTTAAAATATTACCTAATATTATCTTACATCTAT